CCCCCCCCGGTCCCCCGGTCCCCACTGAATGTGAGGCTAACAGTGAAGAACAATGCAATTAACCATATATGCGTAGTCTTATTATATACTACAATAATAATAATGCTGGTAATCTTAATGAGAACTGCATAGCAGCTGCTTTTTGGTGGATTGCATTCATAATATCTAGCAGTAGCCAATTAATTAAATTTTGCTGTTATCATTGAGAACTATAATATAAAGGAGAAAACCAATTTGTCTGCTTCAAGATAAAAGCTAATCCCTTTGTTGCCAGCACAACACCTGGAAAAGTCTCTAATCAAAATTCTATCTTAAGCATATTAAGTGCTTTATTTATTTATATTTATTTATTTACTTACTTTCAAATTGTAATAGTCAAAATGGAAGATAAATTGAAACTCCCAGTTAATGGAGAAATATTGAAGTTTATTTATTTATTTATTTATTTATTACTGCGCTTGTATACCGCCGTTTCTCAGCCTACATTGGCGACTCAACGCGATTTACAACATTACAATAATCAACAATGTTCAAGATAAAAAGCATAAAAAAAGCATAAAAACACATACATAATATACAATATTGGGCCACCAATATCGAACCAATGCATCTCTAAGTTAAAAACGCAGTCCAATTTCATCGTCTGTGATTACCAGTCCTTGATCGTCAGATTTGTTGCACCGTGTTAACCGAATGCTTGTTCGAACATCCATGTCTTCAGTCTTTTTCGAAACGCCACCAGCGAGGGGGCTGATCTTACCTCTATGGGGAGGGCATTCCAAAGCCGAGGGGCTACCACAGAAAAGGCCCTGTCTCTCGTCCCCGCCAGCCGCACCTGTGAAGCAGGCGGGATAGAGAGCAGGGCCTCCCCAGAAGATCTTAGGGTCCTGGTGGGCTGATAGGCCGAGATACGTTCGGATAGATAAGTTGGGCCAGAACCGTTTAGGGCTTTAAAGGCCAGCGCCAGCACTTTGAATTGGGCCATTATCTGTTCCATTATCTGGAGCAGAGTTTCCTTTTAACTAGAACTATTTCACCTTTCAGAGTTGATTTAATGTTTCCATTTTCTTATATGTACCCTTTGACAACCTGAATTTAAATCTTGATTGTTTATTAATACACTTTGACAGTATTTATTCAATTGAAAAGACAGACAATTTGATATAGAATTCAAACAGGTTAATTTTACTGATAAAGATTATAAGGACATACAGTTTTTCAAGCTAGGGTTTCGCAGAAGCTCCAGGAATATAGTTATTACTGTTTTAGATCACTGTGAAGATAATTCAGACTTGGAACAGCTCATATCCAGATTAGCCTTAGATGATATCACACTAGATGACAGTTTTTTGGGAACTGAGCACAGTAAGCCTTTTTTCAGATTGGATTCTAATCTCTATATTCATGAAGTTAAACAGATACCTGTGCTATTTGACTGAGTATAGATTGCAGTTCAGAAATGCTTTGAAAACATTGTTACCAACTATTTGATCATACACCGAAGATATGAACATTTCTGAACTAAGTGAGGGGAGCATACAAAATTAATTGTGTGGGATGCATTCTTAGTTTTATCAAATTACTTTCATCAGATGTCAGTGCACCTGATAACTCTCATGACATAGGGTTAGGTGTCTTGGGATTTCACAATCCCAAAATCATATGTAGGAAGGGAGTTATATATCAGCTCAGAGGCCATGGAACTACATTTTGCAGCATCTCAGGTAACTAGCTTCCTTCCTTCTCCTATGTATTTTTCCTCTTCATATGTGTTATTTTTTTCCAGATAGTCTGAATTTGAGAAAAGACTTGATTAATTGTGTTGTATTGATGCATTCCCCTCACTTTGTTTGTGTCTGGAGTGATTTGAGAAACTGCAGGTCACTTCTGGTGTGAGAGAATTGCCTGTCTATAAGGATGTTGCCCGGATGTTTGATGTTTTACCATCCTTGTGGGAGGCTTCTGTCATGTCCCCACACTGGATTGTCACCTTGTTGTGGAGGGTGGTCTTCTGTGCACCAGTAAACCTATGACCAAATGCAGTGGCAGTGTTAGTAGCAATGTCACAGGAGGGGAACCAGACAAAGAACGAGCTGAAGAAGTCCTCAACTATGGAGCAAGCAGATGATAACATGGCACATGCTACAATGGCTGTGAAGGTGGACGAAAGCTGAAACAGATAAGAGGCCAACTGTATCAACAACTGAGCAGCCCTATTGAGGATCTACTCTCTCACTCTATATGGGAAGATGGCTGGAAAAGGTGTCCTAATCAATGTCTGCCTCATTTACCCCTGACTGGACTGCAGCGTCCAGAGGGATCACCATCTTGCGGTCAAAAAAGATAAATTAATTTTGGAGTCTCCACCATCAACTCCACTGGATTGGCCATGTTGTCCAAATGCCCAATAATTGTCTCCCAAAGCAATTACTTTATTCTCAACTTAAGAATGAAAAATGGAATGTCAGTGGACAACACAAGAGATTTAAAAATGGGCTTAAAACTAACCCAAAATTGGCATAAGTATCAAAAACTGGGAAGCTCTGGCTCTTGAGTCTTCTGACTGGAGTTCAGCTGTTACCAGAGGTGGCCCTGGGGAATTTCAACAGTAAGCAAACAGTATTTTGGCACCCC